CTCCAGACATTAGACAAATATCAGTCTATGTTTTATTTTTAATATTAGTGAAAAGACACACATTCATGCGTGACAAAAAAATAGGAGGCAAAATCGATTTTTTGTAATTCTGTTAATTACACTGCGCAAATCGGATGAGGAAGGGTTGGCTCTCCAGTCTCCATAGAACTTAAAATATTCATTTTATTTTAGTTTTCGTGTTCGCATTTATGAGGAAAAAACAATGTTACAGACGCGACCGCTCTGAACTGGCACTAAAAGACTGCTTTAAAACTTTCACATAGTCTGTTGCCTTTAAGAAGTAAAAGCAGACAATACACTGTAATACAACTGTAATACAAGCCTCACTGAACATGTAACGAGTAAAATATTACTGAAAATTGATTAGTAATGCCTTACACTACTGCGTTACATCAAAAAGTAATATGTTACTGTAATGTATTACTTTTGTAATGCGTTACTCCCAACACTGACTATAAATGTAGCCTGCCACTCACCCACTGTTTGTTCTTTACCAACACTTTTTCAGGTCACCGTAAAATGGGAAGAGGTGACTCTGCAATCCAAACCATGCCGAATCAGGATCCATTACAGAGGTCGGGTTAAATTAGGCCAGATTTGGCAGGTTCTTCTATCCCTTATAACTTGAAACCCACTTGGCACCACAGCACTGTCAGCTAGGTCACAGAACGATCACATTTGTCAGCCATCACACCATGTTAGTGCCCTAGATTTCATGCACTTCATAGTAAGCTTCATAGCTCAGTTATATAATTACCGTAATGTGCTTCCAGCAAAAGAGGTCCGAATAAAGAGATACGACTCTTGAATAGCAGCGTGGGACTTCCCTTTTCTATGTAGCGCTAAATAATTCAGACATCCAGTCAAAGCGAGAGACCTGATTCAATGGTTCTGATTAAACTAAAAGCAGATCACTCCATAAGAACAACTTGACTAGCTTTACACCTTGGACCAGATGGTGGCACGTCACACACAATATCATGACCACATAGCGCTTGTTGAGTCAACAGGTTCAATTCAGTGTTAAATTAGAGAGTTTACAGGCTGATTTGGGTTAGGATGAGTTTGTTTTATATCTGTTGGTTCACAGATGATGTAAGTTCAGGTCAACTGATCAATGATTGCATGTCCAGAAGCAGGAAAACAAGAAACCATCACTGCAAACCGACACCCCGACACCTTCAGTGGACACACGCCTCATCAAATATTTACATTTAGTGACTGGCAAAACTGCTCAGGGCCGGAATGGACCAAAACGAACAGCGTTCAAAGAGAGAGATTTCAGAGCCAGATTCAAATGACCTAACTCTTAAGTTTTAAACTTTGGTGTATAACTTGACTGTTTATGCTACACCTTAAAGGAGTAGTTCACTTTAAAAAAAACTTTTGCTGATAATTTACTCACTGACATGGGGGTGAGTACATTTTAGCCAAAGGAAAAAAATAGTTTTTATAGCGGTTCTAAGCCTTTAGATACAAAAATGTCGACCTGATGGAAGGGGTTTGAATTCTGGAAAAAGCCATTAGAGGCCAGAGTCATTATGCTTACTCGTTTAAAAAACAATTTATTTACAGTTAAAGTACTGTGGCGAGCGGGACGAGTGAGGGCCGCGGGAGAACGGCGCGAGGCCGGTGGCGTGATTACGATGAGCGACACCTGTGAGACGCACCGGTCTCGTATCTCTCACGGAGGAGCGGGAATTTTCTGTTAAAACGCACATCAACCGATCACTTGTTTAGCGTTCATGTAAACACTATATTCAGATTCACCAATCGGAGTGAATTCAGTTAGATTGAAACAAAAGCTGTGCATGTCAACAATGAATGGCGACGGCAGAAAGCAAAAGCTGAATCCCGGACATCGACGGCCGGACATGTCCGGGAAACCCCTACTACTCAGCTTTCTCCACAGAACAAGAGCCTGCTAGCTTAGCTTCCAAAACAAGATGGCCGACACTATGTGTTCATTCTGTAAGTGAGATCGCCCTCTATGGGCGGGTTGAGAACATGCGGGACAGACCCTACTACTGACTGTAGACTTTAGCCTCTGGACAAAAAAATCCTTGGATGATGCAAAATGATGATTTTTGTGTCATCTGAGGATTTTTTCCAGACAAAAAAATACATAAATCTCTCGTCTCAGGGGGATATGAGGGTGGAAAGAATGGTAATTCGAAAATACTACAGGTTTTCTACTAATACAAAGCTTAATGTTAAATCCTGAAGTATCTGCTGAAGTATCCCTTTAAATGCTCTGGCGAGGAGATAAACAAACATGGCGGACTGAGTACAGCTCACTCGAGGGGAGGAGCTAAGCTAATACGGCAGATTCCTCCGCCAGTCTGATGATGCGGCGCCAACAAATACTGGATGTATTTTTCAAATCCAAAAACAATTTAAAGGTGAATTTTGCATTCCATGTCCAATTTAAATCATGTCTTGTTGAGGAAATGTTTACTTTTAATAATATTTAAATAAAGGCTTAAAGGGATACTTCACTTTCTTTTGGAAATAGGCTCATTTTACCACTCCCCCAGAGTTACACAGTTGAGTTTTACCGTTTTCGAATCCATTCAGCCGATTTTCTGATATTTAGAAGAATATCAGTAACCAGACAGTTTCTGGTCTCATTGACTTCCATAGTATATACTATGGAAGTCAATGAGACCAGAAACTGTCTGGTTACTGATATTCTTCTAAATATCAGAAAATCAGCTGAATGGATTCCAAAACAGTAAAACTCAACTGTTTAACTCTGGGGGAGTTGTAAAATGAGCCTATTTCCAAAAAAAAGTGGAGTATCCCTTTAAGATGTTAATTTTCCACTCCTTTTGTCTTTTGGCCACTACTATGTATTTACTTTTTTAGCTATGTCATAAAACAGACATGTTGTACTGTCATTCAATGTTCTTTGTATGCTCTTATTTGATGTAATTCTCCCACTGGAACTCGAGTAACCGCAGTTTCTAACTCTACGCTTGGATTTGCGGGGCATTACCGTGATATAGATCTACTTGGATAAATCTAACCGTTAAAATCCAGAGCACAGAGAAAGATAAAACTCTAGCTTCCTAGATAAAGTACTCTAAATCTTCCTTATATTACATGTGGCCCGAAAAAGGAGATGGGATAGGCCACATTTCAATTGCACTGACTATTGCACGTTTTTCAAATCAAATCCATGACTGTGAGATTGCATACGGCATTGGACTTTATTTGAGTTTTATCCTTGGGTTACCAAAACAAAGCCTCACAGAAAGTGAAGCATGTTACACACACTCACTGCATGTTAAAATGCAGGAATGTGTGACTGGTTTACGGCACTATGACTTTTTTTATTGCATATTTCAAGAAAAAATGAACACATTATTGGTGTGATGGCAAGAAGGGGAACAAGTCAACCTCATTTCCAGTGAAGAATCCAGCAAAGGCTTTTAGGGGGGGAAACAGGAAATGCAGATAAGATAGAGACGTTTGAGCAGATAAACCAAAACACAACACATTTCAGTTCATCAATACTCCATAAAAAGCTGTTGGGTGAGATCAATGCGACCCGTGTAGAAATCACACAACTTTTCCACTCTGGAAAAGAGTTTAATTCTTGTTTTTAAGAGATTGCAGAGCAATAGATAGAAAGGCAATAGAACATTGAGCTAATTTTAGATCATAAATTAATAGTTTACCTGAAAACGATTATCATTATTTACGTTTATTTTTTATTTTTTGTCAATTCAAGTCCAAAAACAGCATAAAAGTTGTTCATATGACTTGCATTGTTGGGGAAAGTTACTTTTTTAAAGTGTCTTCCAATATTGTGTTACTCCCTAAAAAGTAACTTATTGTGTTAATTACTTTTTATGGAAAGTAATGTGTTGCATTATTCTCACCTGGGCTGAGCTTTCTTGTTTAATAACAAAAAAGTGGCTTTTTATTTATTTTGAGGAATACTGAATCTGCTCTGATATTTTTGTTCTCGCATTTAAAAATAATGCATTAGTTTACTACTTACTTGAAAAAGTAATCGGATTACTTGTAATGTGTTTCCACCAACACTGTTGGAAACGATTGCCATCAGTTACTTTTCGTTTAAAGTCATAATAGCTTGTATGAAACAGACCAACATTTACAGTAAATGTTTCTCTCTGCCGAAGCTCTTAAATCTGTGAGTGTTATATGTCAAGTTTATGCTGTTTTTATGTTGTTTTTTTAAAGCACGCTCACTTTGAACCGTCACTGTGTGGACAAGAGCAGCGTGGTTATTCTTAAAAACATCTTGTGCACATTTCGAACTTAAATGGTTGTATGGTTTGAATATAGACGTAAAATTGGTCTTGTTTTAAAGAAGATATTTGTCAGATTTTTGTCGAAGTGAAATAAATTAAGAAAGTGAAGCAGAAAAAAAAAGTTATAGTCCTTTTCATTATTATATCATTGGTTATACAGTACATAATGTAATTGACTTTTTGTCAAAAACTCGATCGCTTGTTTTTGATTCTAAATTCAATGCCCGTGGCTCTGATAAAGTAATAAATTCATAAACCTGTTCCGCAGAATAATAATGACACGTAATGTGTAACAGACAAAACCGATGTCTTGACTGTTCAGATGCCTCGGGATATCATACGAGGAGGTGAAAGGGACATGATCCACGACGAAAGGAAAAAAACAAAACATGATGATTCCCAAACTTTATCAAACCAAAAGCTTCTTATCGTCAGATGGGACCAATCAAGAGTGGCCTCTGGTTGGGTTTGTTCATCTTTTCAAGCGTCTGTGCTCTTTTCCTAGTCCACTATCAAAGAGCTCCAGATAACAGCCATTCACAAAAGCCCTATCAGACAAACCCTGCACCTTGGGAATTCAGCGAGGAGGGGCCGAGTGTGAGAATGGAGGCAGGGACGTAGAATGACAGACAGGACTAGGGAGGGGTGAGGAACCGAGAGGGAGACAGCAGCTTTTCTAAGACCATCCTGGAGGTTGGAGATCACATCAGGAGACAGGAGATCAGGAGGTCGTTTTGACGTGCATTCATTCCCTGGAAACACAGGAGGATGAGTTTTCCAGTGATAATGGTTCCCAAATGGGATTACTAAAGTGCTCTAGCTCACCATCAGAAGCTTCACAGACTTGCAGCTCACTTCATGGTTTGATGGTTTCTTCATTGGTCTTATGTGGAGTTCTCTGGAGCGAGAGGCATCCATGCACGTTCACTGAGCAGCATGTTTCAGGAGGAGTACCATGAGGAGATGGACAGTGAGTAAGAGTGTGTCTGCATGCTGGTCGGTGTGTGTCGTGTATCTTCTCGCGGTCTCCGTCAGCTGTGGCCGCGCATGTGCCGTGCAGAGGGAGCTCAGGGTCGACAACTCTTCATCTTCATCCTCATCCACCTCCACCTCAGGACGGCATGTGCGCAGTTACGTGCACCTCCAGGGAGACGTGCGCCAGAGGAAACTCTTCTCCTTCCAGAAGTTCTTCCTTAGGATCGGGAAAGACGGGAGAGTCAACGGCACCAAGAGAAAAGACGATCCCTACAGTGAGTTACCTCAGAATACGCGCGCTTTATTCACAATCACGTCGCTAATGGCCAAACAAAAACATCGTGATGTGAAATCTCTGTGTGAACATTTTAATTTGTACATCAACTAGTCTGTTAAGAGAATAGCTATTATTCAGGTTTAAAGGCACAGTTTATAGTTTTAAAATACATTTAAAAAATGTTTGAACGTCGCTAATGGCCAAACAAAAACATCGTGATGTGAAATTTAACAACGTCTCTAATGGCCCAATAAAAACGTCGTGAAATTTAATAACGTCTCTGTGAACATTATTAGCCTATTTGTACTTCAACTAGTCTTAAGAGAATAGCTATTATTCAGGTTTAAGGCATAGTTTTAAAATACATTTTAAATGTTTGAATAGGCTACAATAATCTTATGGAAGTTATAAACTTAATATTTATTCTGCTATAATGTGAATTTATAATAATAATAAGAATTAAATTAATTTGGTATAGTAAATTTAAACCCATTTAGAATAAATTCATTAATTGCCTAATATACAGCTTCAGATCAGTTGGCTATTGATAGGCAATTCTTAAAAAATATGAAATAAAGTTGAATGTGTGTGTATATATTACAATAATGTTAGTTCTATTTAGGGAAGTTATTATGAAGTGTTTCTTGATTAAAAAATATTCAATATTGTGACATGAAATGACTTTTAAAATCCCGATTTATTTATAAAGTTTCATAAAGTTTATGAATAACAATATTATAACACGCTATAGCTAAATACTTTTATCATTAAATGAAATTGTATTTAGATTACCGCAATGCATTCACTTATGAATCAAAAGTTTTATGACATTTCTAGGTGAATGTTGAATTATTATGCTGAAATATTTGTTAATTACGTTTTTCATGAAATTGTTAACAAATTTGTAGACATAAGCAAAACACCTGATGTGAAATCTTAATGAACCACACAAGAATAATAATACTAATATTTAAACCCCATAAATGAAATTAGCTGCTCTAATAAAACAAACACAATAAATGGTCCATTAAAGAATGGTGCTATTGGCTGTAATAAACTTTTAAATGCGTAATTGTGTCCTGCTGACACCCAGAAATCTGAGAGCAATTAACTCACATATTGCCGTAAATGTTTCCCCTGACGCAGCAGAGGAAACACATCCCTTATAATGTGATCAAGGGTTACGCTTGTACTTTCATGGCTATATGTCCATAATAGAGTCAAGTGTCTGGGATTAGATATAGTTTTTGGTTCGTTTCATGTATTATGAGCCCATCAGTAAAATGCAAAATATGTTTTTGGTGTTTTACAAAGAACAAGTTAATTAGCCATTGCTCATATGGAGCCCATGTGCAGATAAGGGTCTTCCTGTTTCCTCTCTGTGTGGTGTGTCTCACACTGACATCTCTTCCTTCAGAAGCGTGTGGTTGTTTTGGTGCTTCTATAGTCAAACTTTCTTTTTAAGATTTCAATTGTTTCTCCTGTGAGTTTCCTCTTGAGTTTCAGAAGAGATCTCCACAATGTCTCAAAGTGTACAAGATACCACTGACTGCCATCAAAAGTCTGAGATCTTAAATATTTCTCATCAAATTTTTCCATGGGCTGATGTACAGCTCTTTAACTTATGACTATTCATATGGGTTAGTTTAACAATCTCCTTATGAACTTTTTAAAGCGTCAAACTGTCAGTTGTCTATAGCAATGGAGGGACAGAAAGCTCTCAGATTTCTTCAAAAAGATCTTCATTTGTGTTCCGAAGATGAACGAAAGTCTTACGGGTTTGGAACGACATGAGGGTGAGTAATGACAGAATTTAAATTTTTGGGTGAACTATCTCTTTAAATGAAACATAAAGGAGTGTCTTGAGCAATAAAAGGTTGATATAAATAACATATTTTGACAGAAACTCCTTAGCTTCTTCTGTAAAATAACACTTTTAAGAAAGTGCACTCTTTAATTGTAATGTTTTAGGTCATTAGAGATCAGAATGGAAATGTCCCGGGTGTTTGAGTTGTCCCTGTTAGAGGGCAATGTGTGTTTGTGTAGCATCAGACATCACTGTGACATCTGACTGTGTAAACATGTAATCAAGCCCTCAGAGGTGATCAGGTGTTGAGAGGAAATGTCTGTCAGACTTGTGAGTGTGTGTGTGTGTGTGTGTGTGTGTGTATGCACATGTCAGTTTCCTTCTGATAGCCTCATCTGTGATAAAACAACAGACACAAAACACTCAACCAGAATACACAAATCCACACCAAGCTGTGAATTGAAACATCAGCAATCATTAGGTGATCAGACTATTTTCTCTTGCTGGATGATAAAATTCAAAATGACAACCACCCAGAACATCCTAGCAACCACTCAGAACACAATTGCAACTACCTAGATACCACTCTTAACATCATAGTAAACACCCAGCAACCGTTCAGAATGCAATTGTAACCAGTTGTCCACCCACATAGAACTTCCTAACAAGTACTCAGAACATCCTAGCAACGACTTCGAACATCCTAGCAACCCCCGAAATCACTAAGAACATTGAACCTCCTAGCAACCACTCAGAACATCATAGCAACCACCCAGCAACCACTTAGAACATCATAGCAACCCCCTAATAATCACTCAGAACATAGCAATCACTCAGAACATCCTAGCAACCCCCTAACAATCACTCAGAACATAGCAACCACCTAGCAACCACTCAGAACATTCTAGAAATCACATAACAATCACTCAGAACATAGCTACCACCTAGCAGTAGCAACCACTAAGAACATCCTAGCACCCCCTAACAATCACGCAGAATATAGCAACCACCTAGCAATCACTCAGAACATCCTACCAACACCCTAACAATCACTCTGAACATAGCAACCACCTAGCAATCATTCAGAACATCATAGCAACCCCCTAACAATCACTCAGAACATAGCAACCACTCAGAATATCATGGCAACCCCCTAACAATCACTTAGAACATAGCAACCACTCAGAACATCATAGCAACCCCCTAACAATCACTCAGAACATAGCAACCACTCAGAACATCATAGCAACCCCCTAACAATCACTCAGAACATAGCAACCACTCAGAATATCATAGCAACCCCCTAACAATCACTCAAAACATAGCAACCACTCAGAACATCATAGCAACCCCCTAACAATCACTCAAAACATCATAGCAACCCCCTAACAATCACTCAGAACATAGCAACCACTCAGAACATCATAGCAACCCCCTAACAATCACTCAGAACATAGCAACCACTCAGAACATCATAGCAACCCCCTAACAATCACTCAGAACATAGCAACCACTCAGAATATCATGGCAACCCCCTAACAATCACTCAGAACATAGCAACCACTCAGAACATCATAGCAACCCCCTAACAATCACTCAGAACATAGCAACCACTCAGAACATCATAGCAACCCCCTAACAATCACTCAAAACATAGCAACCACTCAGAACATCATAGCAACCCCCTAACAATCACTCAGAACATCATAGCAACCCCCTAACAATCACTCAGAACATAGCAACCACTCAGAACATCATAGCAACCCCCTAACAATCACTCAGAACATAGCAACCACTCACAACATCATAGCAACCCCCTAACAATCACTCAGAACATAGCAACCACTCAGAGCATCATAGCAACCCCCTAACAATCACTCAGAACATCATAGCAACCCCCTAACAATCACTCAGAACATCATAGCAACCCCCTAACAATCACTCAGAACATAGTAACCACTCAGAACATCATAGCAACCCCCTAACAATCACTCAGAACATAGCAACCACTCAGAACATCATAGCAACCCCCTAACAATCACTCAGAACATAGCAACCACCTAGCAATCACTCAGAACATCATAGCAACCCCCTAATAATCACTCAGAACATAGCAACCACTCAGAGCATCATAGCAACCCCTTAACAATCACTCAGAACATCATAGCAACCCCCTAATAATCACTCAGAACATAGCAACCACTCAGAGCATCATACCCCCTAACAATCACTCAGATCACCGTAGCAACCCCCTAACAATCACTCAGAACATAGCAACCACTCAGAACATCATAGCAACCCCCTAACAATCACTCAGAACATCATAGCAACCCCCTAACAATCACTCAGAACATAGCAACCACTCAGAACATCATAGCAACCCCCTAACAATCACTCAGAACATAGCAACCACTCACAACATCATAGCAACCCCCTAACAATCACTCAGAACATAGCAACCACTCAGAGCATCATAGCAACCCCCTAACAATCACTCAGAACATCATAGCAACCCCCTAATAATCACTCAGAACATCATAGCAACCCCCTAATAATCACTCAGAACATCATAGCAACCCCCTAACAATCACTCAGAACATAGCAACCACTCAGAACATCATAGCAACCCCCTAACAATCACTCAGAACATAGCAACCACTCAGAACATCATAGCAACCCCCTAACAATCACTCAGAACATAGCAACCACTCAGAACATCATAGCAACCCCCTAATAATCACTCAGAACATAGCAACCACTCAGAATATCATGGCAACCCCCTAACAATCACTCAGATCACCGTAGCAATCACTTAGTACATCAGCAGTGCACTATCAAGCACATGGAACAGCTCAGCATTGTGGCAGCACGTTTTGCATGAGTAAGCTCTAGTTTTATGTGTTTTTAAGTGTTTAACTAATAAGCATACATGTATCTCGCAAAAGTTATGTGCTGTCCTTTTAAATTTCACAACTCATTTATTCATAAGAGAGTAGCTAATTTAAGCGGTGTACAGCACAGCTGCTTGCTCTTATGTCTAAGGGTGACACATGTTACTCTGTGTGTGTGTGTGTGTGTGTGTGTGTGTGTACAATACATATGTTGGAAACAGCAGCAGTAATACACATGTTCTCACTTAACTACTCTCAACTTTAACTAGCCCTAAAGAGCCTCATGAGAGACTGAAACAT